CACCCCACACACACAAACCCCCTCCCCCGCACTACCACCTGCATCAGCACGTTGGCCTTGCCAGACTTGTTGTCGTTGCCGCCCAGCCCTTTGACAGGGTACGGCACATTCCGAGCCATCTCGTCCAGCTCCGGCAGCTCCTCCTCCCGTAGCTGACGGGGGGTGGGAAGCATACGGCCGTGTGCGTGTGTATGAGTGTGTGGAGGGGTGGAGCCGCGGGGGGTGGAGCCGCATGTGAGTGTACGGAAGTGTATTGAGGGGGTGGCTGCAACACCGTGCATGAGCAGGAAGGCGGAAGACCTCCTCAACAACGTAACCTCGCGGTGGGTCCACGAAGAAGCCTATAGAAAAACAACCCCAAACAGCTTCTACCTTTCCCCCTCACCCCCCCATCCCCCCACCCCGCCATCACCATCACCACCCAGCTGACCCAGCAAAACACACCACAACACTCTCTCCCTTCCAACACCAAGACCCGCCAAACCCTACGAAAACACCAGTCCTCCTTTTAAAACCCCCCAAACCCCAAACCCCAAACTCCAAAACCCCAAACCCCAAACCCCCAAAACCCCGAACCCAAAACCCAAACCCCTACAATAAACCCTCCTCAACCCCGCAATTCCCCCCACCCAGTACCACCCACCCCCACCCACCACGAGCTGTTCGAACTCGGCGCTCTGCGCCACCATGGCCAGCACCTTGTCCTCCTTCATGTGCGGCTTCAGCAGCGAGTTGAAGGTAACCATGGAGGCAGCCTTGATGTAGAAGTGGGAGGCCACACGACCCAGCTCAGTGACGTACAGGGCGCCCGACCGCTCGTCGTACACAGCCATCTGGGACTCCCGAAGCGACTTGGCGGCCTCAACCACCAGGTCACGTTTGTGGACTGTGTGGAGGTTTGAAGGAGTGTGTGTATGTATGTATGTGTATGTATGTGTGTTTCGGGGTGGGGGGGTGGGGAGTGTGTGTGTATGTTGGGGGGGTTAAGAAACATTACAAACATGCAGATGCACATATATGTTCGAAAGTGCAGAAACATACAAACATACGGATGCACGTATATGCTTGCAATGCCCCGGCCTACTCACGTTCTAAGCCGGGGTCCAGTACGAGCTGGTCGTACGTAATGCCGTACACCAGCGGGTTTCGCTCCAGCCTACGCGCCAGGTAGGAGTACCCCAGCCAGGCCACCGCCTCACGCACGTTGGTGACCGTACCCAGCACAATCTCTGCAGGGGGGTTGAGGGGGGAAAGGGGGAGGAAGGAAGAAGGGGGTGAAAGGAGGAGGAAGAAGAGAATGAAGGGGGTTGAAGGGGAGGTGCGGAGATTGGAATCACAAGACTGATAACGATGCTGACGCAAGGGGAATGGGGTTGTTATTGTTGTTGTTCTTGTTCTTGTTGTTGACATTGTAGTACAATTAGTGGTGGTACTAATACCCAAAACCTCATCCCTTCTCTCCCCACCTCCCACCTCCCACCTGCATTTAAGTTATCGACCAGGTACTTTTTGAACTGGCTCTCGATGGGCGCCTGGTGGGTCAGCATACCCAGGTAGTGGGCCAGCTTGTCGTGGGTCGTCAGGATGATGCCCAGACCTGGACAGGACACACACACCACCACACCACCACACCACCACAGCAACAGCAACAGCAGCAACAGCAACAGCAGCAACAGCAGCAGCAACAGGAGGGGGAGGTGTGGGAAGGGGCGTCGGAATACGGGAGTTCAGGTAGAAGGTGGCGAAGGAGAAGGGGACGGAGAAGGAGGAGATGAAGATAAGAAGAACGAAGATAGCGAGGAGCAGGGGAACGGGTAATTGGGGAGAGGAGGCGGGGAGGGAGGGAGGCGGGGATGGAGGTGAAGCTTACTCCCATGCTTCGTCCCACACCCCCACACCTCCTCCAAGAATACACACAAACACAGACATATAGCCATACACACAGAGAGAGAAACACAGACATACACAGAGAGAGAAACACAGACATACAGACATACACACAGAGAGAGAAACACAGCCATACACACAGACACACAGCCATACAGCCATGCACGCATAGACATACACAAGCACAAACACTCACCGCTGTCCTCGAATTGCGGGCGGCCCGCTCGTCCAAAAATCTGCTGCACGTCCAGCATGCCCACATCCGTGAAACCACCCTTCTGTGCGTCGTACACCTGCGCAGTGCATTTTGACAGGATGCAGTACAATGCAGTACAATGTAGTACAGCGCGTTCGCAGGCGGACAGACAGGGACATCGAAGGGACAACACACACAAACACACACACAGATTTCTTCACACATCCAAACCCTAAGTTCCGCCCTCCCTCCCCTCCCCTCCCCTCCACCCCACCCCTTCATCCGCGGGCCCCACCTGCGTGCCCTTGATGATGACGGTGTGTGCCGGCAGGTTCACGCCCCACTCGAGGGTGGCCGTACACACCAAAACCCGCAGCAGCCCCTCCGCAAACAGCCTTTCCGTGAGGGTCCGGTCGGGCCGCAGCATACCCGCGTGGTGCATGCCGAAACCCAAATCGAACAACTCCGCCATCTCGCGGTTCCTGAGGGGGCCAGGAGGGGAGGGGGCCAGGGGGGGAGGGGAGCGGGGGAGGCGGGGGGGGGGGAAGGAGGGTTTTACAGCTCACATCCAAAACCAGGGTTTTGCAGGTTAAAAACCCTAAAACTGCCCTCCAATTATATAGGGTCCTTTAGGGCGGGTCCCGCTAATGCCGAAAGGAAGCAGCACATCCTTAAGAGTTGGCTCGGGGTGTCGTACATTGGCAACAACGTTTTAAGCATCCCAGGTTTCAAATACATACAGCTTCTGAAGTTCCTCGTCCTGCCAGGCATGGGAAAACACCATAACATGCCAATTGGGATATATTGCGCAATAACGATGTAAGGAGTATACGAATTGCACGCAGTCGTGCGGGTGAAAGGTACGGGAGGGGGGAAAGCGCACGCATAAAAAAACCCGAATACCCCCCTCACCCCTCTCACACAGGGGAAGTCTAAGAGTCATCAAGGTGGACGAGGGGGCGGAGAGGAGGAGGAGGAGGAGAAGAAGGTTCTTTGCTCGTACGTACCTGCTCTTCCGTACATCCTTTGCGAAGATGCCGTACTTGTCGTGTTCCCTCGTGTCCAGCAGCCCCGCGTCGCCGCTCTTGGCCGCCAGGTCAGCCAGCACCCGGGCCGTCTTACCCGTGTCCTTGCGGCTGTGTACGAACACCATCACTTGGTAGCCCGCCTTGAGACTCTCGACCATCTTTGGGGGGGGGAGGGGGGAGGGGGAATGCAGGAACCAGATGTTTGTGTAGGGGGTGGGGGACGAATATTGAGGGGGTTGCGAGATGGGGTAGGAAATGTGTGTGGGGGGGGAGATGGAGGGCAAGATGGAGAGGGAGGGAGAAAGAAACCACAAAAAACCGCTGCTGCCCCCCGGCCCCATTTTACTCTCCC